TGGTGATAGTTTGTCAATATTACTCATATAGTTATCCCGACTTTCACAACTGGGTCATATCTTGGGAATAGATGGTTGTTGTGAGTGTGAGCAACCTTCCTTTTTGTTGAATCCTTCACAGGTAATGGAGCTTCTTTATTATTATGATTCAGTTTCGGAGAAGGCATGACTTCATTGTTGTTATGCCCAATACCGCTATCGTCAGATGACACTCTCTCATTATCGCTACTACCGCGAAGACTGACATCCTCTTCCTCATCATCTCTGTTAAATATCCGACTACATATTTCAATAATCCTATCACTCGGCCCGTTTCGGAGACCACTGCAGAAGACATCATCTGCGTCCATAAAGTTCATTTGTTCCTCATCAACATTCCGACCGTGTGTGGTAGGAGGACCATGAGACAGCAAATGGCGTTCAAAATCCTCAAAACTGTATAGTTCGGCCTCAAGACTGAAAAATACAAAAGTTGATAAATCAAATCAAATCAGAGTACTGTTTGTATAGAGTACATCTCCAATAGAAATGCACATAAACCCAAAAGTACAGGTGTTAATGCTGGACCATTAAAATACAACTTACTTTGTCCATAGAAACATCTCTGTCAATTACATAAAGCACATATACTACTAATAGAGCAAATATGGTATTTTGGATAACTGCAGAAATTTATTTCTCGCAATGAATTTTCGAGAATCAGTGAAAACAAATTTAACCACAGTAATAGGATTCATCAAAGACGATGATAATTAACACTTAACATGTTATATATTGGATTCAATGGAACTTGTGCAGAAATGACAGACTTTTTTTTTTTTCATTAACTGTGTGATATCTTCTTTTTGAACAAGATTATCTAGGGGTTACTTATTTATCTATTGTGTGAAAAAAATCGCACAATCCAGAGTTCTACTCATCGGAGGTTTTTCGAATAGAACCTAATTTAACAAAAATGCTAATGTACATACTTGGTATATGCCAAAATTTACATCTTGCATTTTTAAAATACTATAACAAGTTATAGAATTCCATAGTTGCTATCTTGACTTAAATCAGAGGAGTCGCATTCGTGGGAATTGAGTCCCAAGCAACGATATCAACGCATGATAAAAATGCAAAGGTTCATGGGTAGACACTTGTTTGTAAACAACAACACACTATGGGCATCCGCCATATGCACAGGTGACGACTCCCTCGCTTTAAGTCATTTTTGAACTCATTAAAAGTATTACTCTTTAAATAACCATCAGAAGTGAACTTAAATAACATTTTGATTTTAAATTGGGTAATAAATGAAAAATTAAAAGTATAATGTGTTTGCCAAATGTATAGTGCGGTAGCTGCTGTCACTGAATTAACTTCTCATCCAATATAGTACTATTTATTGAACATAACGAGAATCAACAAATCAATGTTCTGTAACAGTTATAAACACAGCTCAATTTTGAGACTCCCACAAAACACATGTGTGCTCGTTATGGGACAAACTTAAACAGTCCCACCAATAATGCATGGCAGCTAGCAGCTGCGTTTGTTGAGTTGTTTATATACACTTTATGAATCAACAAAGCATGACTATTGATACCATGGTAACCATGTATGAATGTTTATTAGCACGTTCTGACTAGAAAAACTTGTATCAGGTAATTAGAAAGCACTTCACATTATCATATATTTTAGAAGAAGTGAAAAATGTTATAATGTCATGTTTTGTGTTCACATATGTTTTTATGCCAGCAATTGTGTTATGTAATAGTTATACCAGTACTGATACCTACCATTCCAAATGAGTTTAAAGTGAAAGGGGCATCACCTATGCACCCAAGAAAATTGGGCACTAAGCAACGATAACAATACACACTAAAAACGCAAAATGTGTAGACACTCATTTGTAAACAACGAAACGCTATGGCAGTCTTGTTGCATACACAGGTGACGACTTCCCAGCTTTATTTTAAACTCCATAATTTAAAATGTAGACGCAAGTTAAAAAAGTTTTGTATATACCGGGTACACTAACACACAAATATTAACACATCATTACCGGTAGGTCTAATAAAATAGGAGTGAACTGACCAGTGAAAGGAAAAGAGAATAAATTTAGAAGGATAGAGGCAACAGTTTACATGTACGGATACTAGTTAGGAGTCACAGCATTTGTTCTAGAGTTGCATACAGTCCCTTGTTTATTTGTTGTTGTTTTCTCAATAAAATAAAATACGTGTAAATGGCGAAAGCACAAACACACCTCTATAATTTATGTAAGTATATGCACTATTAATATAAAAAGCAGATACTGTGGAATACTTTATTTTCGCTGGAATTAATTTTCGCTGAAAAAGCTTTTTGGGCATTTTGTATGGAATTTATTTTCACTGATTTTTGATGAGTTTAATGTGAAATATAGGAAAAAATTGTTTTTTCGCTGGATTTTATTTTCAAAGAATCATGCCTTCAGCGAAAATAAAGTATTCTACAGTATATGGTGTATGTGCAAATTACTAGCCAGTGATTTTTTTCAAGTTTCTTTTTCATTCATTTTAATGTTAGATTTGGCACTAACTGACTTGGGTACATATTTCTTGAGCTGTTTAAGTAGATTGAAATACTTCTTTCACTATAATAAAAAGCTGGAGAACCATAGTAAGTTCTACGTAAACAAGGAAGCATACTTTTCTTGTCAGCAGACCAACAGTACAAATATACAAGGATAAAAGAAAGGTGTAAGAAATTCTACACAACTCAAAGTGGTAAATATGAAAAAAAAGTTTTAGTTAGAATGCTTTCAAGAGAAGTGTGTGTATGGAAACCAGTAGTAGGCGTCAACTATGCAGCGTCGTTCCAACACAACCACAACTCCATATTCAGAATGTGTATACATATTGTTTAATATAAACGCCAAAAAAAATTCAGACAATACATCACCACTACCTAATAATATCTGATGATATGACTCTACAGCACACCTGTAAGAAAATAATGAAATGGACAGTTCAAGTTTTCAATACATATTGAGGTTAATGTGATGAAGAAGTGCATGTATTCAAAATGTATTATGTGAACTTCTCAATCGGGGTAAATCGACTACAGCATCTATTGAGTCCGCCAGACCAGTCACACTGGGTCAAAAATCATTCATCTATAGACCCTGGACAATGACAGTATATAGCCATCTTACAAGTCAACCCACTTCTTTATCTAAGATTACAATACACTATAATAATATAGCAAATACAAAGGGAACACATTCTAAGGATTGGAGTGTGAAACTACAATTAATATGATCACATGAATAGGAATGTGTTTAGGCTTGTGAATGAAGAAGACATTATGAATGTCAACATTCAACGAAAAGTACAAGTTCACGATGATAAATTTCCGACCCTACTAGTTTGGTAAGCATATTCATTTTGAACATTAAAATATAAGCGTCTATTGAACACTAACTGTTAATTGCTTATTAATAATTAAATGAATTTTTTATATTGATTAAATCATTTTTATGTGCTCCTTCAACCCACAATAGAGCACTGGAGTGAGTTCCCATTGCAATTTATTTTAATATCTCAGGAAGAACATCTCACGTCACTATAATTAGTCCCTCTCAACTAATTTGTGTTTTGTATGTTCGACAGCCCTTTTGGAGATATTTCTCAGACAAGCTTTGACCGAGCATATTCAAACTAAACACTGACCATGTATGATAATAACCAGCCATTTTGGTACTCAAAATTGCTAAATTCTTATATGTAAATTTGTCGGGACTATTCCTTGGAGATTAGGGGGTGATTTCATTAAAATTTTGTATCAATATCATGATCATTAGAGCACATCATATTTTTTTCAAGATACGAGAAAAAAATTACCGACTGGCAGCCATTTTGTTTTTATTCATGTCCATGCCAATTCCTCATTAATATATTGCCAAATCTATTAATATATTGTACATCTATTCTTTTGCATGGACTACCGGTATATAAGAAAACTTTTATTCTATAACAAAATTCACAGGAATAAACAAAAAAAATGAAATAATTGATCTCATGACCAAGAGTAAAATAAATACCTTAACAGTACACTTGATTATATTAGCAGGTGCATAGCTCTCCACACCTGTCAAAGGGGGTAATTTGAATGTAATTGGGCAATTTCCCTTGAATAGTACATCAGGAAATGTGCACATTAACAAATCAAGTAACATTCTAGTAATTACGTGTGAATGGTTTAATTTGTGAAAACAGTTAACTGTAACAGTATTAACCTTTTGAGTACGCAAGTCAACATTTGTTACCTTTCACAGAATAAACTCAAATTAATTTGTTCATATCCTTTATCAATATCTATATGCAGCGCTAATTATCGCCATTTGGTCCAAAATCAATAAAACTCTGTTATGGCGGCTCAGGGGAATTGTCAATGAGTAAATTAATTCAGAATTGTAAAAGTACTGGTATAAGAATTTAAAAACTATGGCATAAATGTGTATACAGTATTTGCTTTATTAGTAACATATGCATATGTATTTACATAAATTACAGAGGTGTGTATACTGTATACATGTAAAATACTTTATTTTCGATTGGCATTAATTTTCGCTGAAGGAATTATTCTGTGAAAATAAAATCCAGTCAATATACCATTTTTCCTATATTTTACATTCAGCTAATCAAAAATCAGTGAAAATAAATTCCATACAAAACATTCAAATTGATTCCAGCTAAAATAAAGTATTTTACAGTATTAAGAATTCTACATCAAATGCAATTTTAGACTCAAATGTGTTTTTA